AATCTCGGAGTTGAAGGTGGCGGTACTGTGAAAGGAGTCGCCTATGACCAGAAGAGCTGCTACGAGCGAGCGCTGGAATGTGACGAGAAGTATGCCCGGGCATGGTCCAATCTCGGAGTTGCCGGCGGAGGGACCGTGTGTGGCGTCTTCCACAACCCGGAGAGCTGCCGCCGCAAAGCGGACGAGCTGAATGAAGCTTAGCCCTTTTGCATTTGTTTCACATCCTGTCGAATCAGAAAAGGATCCCAAAGAGGCCCTGAAGTACTTACCGACATTTTCCGACCCATATTGGACGATCGGTTTCTTTGCCTCAAATCGGTCCTTTTGAAAGGGGATCGTCGTTTTCCTTGGCAGGTTTTCGCCGGTGAGCAACGTGAACAACCGTGAGCTCCGAGCCGCAGCTGCCGGAAGGGGAGCTGCATGGTGCAGTCTTTTTGCCGCGTGACACCCGCGGTGACACGCGGGGAGATCCCGCGCCTCGCTTTCACGGCCGAAGTTTCGCATCTCGGTCCAAGGAATTTGAGGATCAGGGCGTTCAGGTGGGCGGATGCGCCTTGTCATTGCGGCCTCCAGGTGGACAGAGATCGCCGGCGGGTTCAGTGAGGTGAGGTGAGGTGAGCGACCACACCCTACCACGCCCATCCCAATTTTTCCGAATCTCTACCTATGAACGCCATCACAGCTGTTTCACACCTGACTCCTGACGCGGTGTGGAACTTGAGGAGTGCTTGTTTTGGATACCAACTTTGGGCGAGGCTTGATGCCAACCCGGAGTTGGGTGACACAGCTGGCACTGTCGAAGGAAACTTGCCTATGACCAGAGCTGCTAGATGTGAGTCATGTGAGTGCTTTGTTAAATGTAGTTGCTTGGAAACCATTTTCGAGACGCGCCGCGTTCTACGCGGCCTGCGGCGGCGAAAGCGGAAACAAGGAACCGCGGCGGGAAGTGGTTTGGTCCAGAAATTGAGAAATTCAGGAGAGAGTGATGGGAATTTCCCACTGAAGAGAACATATGAGAAATAATGAAATAGAAGAAATACAGTAGTTGAAAATAGTTGAAAAACAATCAAGTGAACAAAATTGAACAAACAAACATGCTTAACATAACATGTGAATGTGCGACTATGTCGGTTGACACACCGATATGTACAGGCTCAACTCACCTAACCAGCAGGTGAAAAGGGCGCGACCTTCGTTCGCTTCCACGTTTTCATGTTAGCGGAGCCGACCCGGGGGGCTCAATAAATATACCCCGGGAGAAGAGCAAAGATCCAGGGAAGGAAGAAGAAAAAAGGTGAAAGAAAAGAAGAGAAGAAAGGAAAATGGATGAGGAGGTGGCAAAGGCCTTGGTGGCTGCATCCCAGCAGTCGGCAGGTATGGCTCAGGAAGCTGTCAAGACCTGAAGGAGATGAAAGAGAAGGACGGCAAGAAAGCTGGAGAGGGCTTTGCAACAGCCAGTAAGGTTGTGAGACCGCCAGAGCCATTTGAGCCGAAGAACATGGAAGAGATTTCGCAGTGTTGCCCAGGCTTCAACAGCCGCGCCATCAACAGGCTCGAAGAATTTGAGAAGGATCGAGACGGTGATCCTGGATGAGGACGAGGAAGATATCGCCATCGAGTATGTCAGGATGGTGGGGACAGAGACTTATGACCTCACCTACAGCGACAATGATGAGGATTGGATCATGTTCAAGGATCCAAGTGAGAGCCAAGGTGAAGCCCCCGAAGAAGGGAGAGAACAAAGTGAGCTTTGTCCGAAGTGTTGCTGGAGGAGAAGGTACGATGGTGATCCTCGACTCAGGCGCTGACATCTTGGTGCTTCCCATGAGCTACCGAGAGGTCGGGTTCCCGCTGGAGCGGGTGACTTCCTTGAGAGATGCTCAAGGAGGAAAGATGACAAATGGTGGCATGCGCCAGGCCACGATCGAGCTTGAGGACGAAGAAGGCCATTTGGTCGAGTTGAGGGAAAGCTTCGCCCTGTCCAACGTCAAGGAACCCCTCCTTGCATTGGGCAAGCTGTTGGGAAGAGGTTGGAAGATAGAAGGAGAAGGAGGTGATGTCCGCCTGACACATGGGCTGTTCAGCAAGAGCTTGCAGTTCAGACACAATTCATTGGTGGTGGACGCCAAAATTCGGAAGGTTGGAACAGTTGAGGACCAGCCTGTGGGGAGAGCAAATTGAGAGCAGTAACCATGGAGTTCCAAGGTTTGCTGAACGGGAAACGAAAGCAGAGATGTCGGTGATCTCAATGGATTTCTGTTTCAGCCGAGGTGATGAAGAAGTGGACATCGAAGTGAAAGAGGACCTGCGAATTGGTGGTGACAGATGATTGGTCACATGCTGTGTTGTGTGTGCCAACACCAGGGAAAGGCAGGGCCCACTTGAAGTTCATGGCTGAGCAAGTGATGCGGTTCATTGGCAGTTTGGGATACTCAAGAGTGATCCTGAAGGGAGATGGAGAACCTTCAATGGGGATGTTGTTGGAGGTGTTGCAACAAGCAAGACTGAGGTTGGGCTTCCACACGAACATCGGTGGCCCAGCTGACTCCCAGGCAAATGGCCGAGTGGAGAGAGAGAGAGAGAGATCCACACAGTGCGAGGCATGGCGAGAACATTGGTTCATGGTGTAAAAGAAGGCTGCCAGATGCACATCAAACCATCTTCACCAGTGTTCCTATGGGCTATGCGCCATGCTGGATGGTTGTTGACGCACTACAGGCGACGAGGAGGTGTGCCAACAGCCTATGAGACGAGGACAGGAAGAAAGAGAGGAAAAGTTGAAGAAGAAGGAGGATGAGGCGAGGCTGAAGGGTGATGAGGCAAGAGGAGAGAAGAGACAGGCAGGGGCAGATGATGCAAGCAGCAAATAAAGTGAGGACCCAGACATGACATGAGTGATTACACTCCAACACAACCAGATGAGGAGCAGGATGAAGGAGGTCTGGTGATCACGGACGATACATTGCTGCAGGACCTGCTTGATAGCTTGGAGGAGCCCACTGTTGAGAGCGAAGTCGACAAAGCGCCAGCGAGTCCAAGAAGAAGCCCTATGGATAGTCCAAAGAGATCAGGAGGAGAAGGTGATGTAGAAGATGAGATGCCAAAGAAAGTGGCAAGGTCTGCGCCGAAGAAGATGTTGAAGACGAAAACGTCGAGTTCAGAGAAGGAGGAACCTGAACCAGCATCAGCTTCGACAATTCGCATGGTGGTTGCTGCAGAACTGTTGCCAGATGGAGACGAAAGCCTAGAGTTCCCAGACCAGCCACCAGAGTTGACAGAGGCTGAGCTTGCCGAGGTTGAAGATGAAGCCACAAAGGAAGAGATTCAGAGGGTGATTGACATGACAGTCTTAATGCCACCTGGAAAGGACGATGATTTGGAGGACATCCCATTGTTGACAACAAAGTTGGTGATGGATTGGCGGTGGCGAGATCACAAGTGGAAGAGCAGGGCAAGATTGGTTGCGCGCGATTTTGCGTGGTGTGATCTGAACAGGACAGATGTCTTTGCGCCAGCGGGAGGACACTCCCTCCTGAGGTTGATTCCAGCGATCTGTCAGGTCAAAGGTTGGAAGATGATCACGATGGATGTCAAAGATGCATACTTGATGTGTGCACAGCCGAAGAAGGTGAAGGTGAGTCTGGCATTGGCTGAGAGGCTTGGGCTTCAGCAGGAGTGGATCCTTGGCCGGATCCTTCCAGGACAACGTGAAGGTGCAGGGCAGTGGTTCCAAGAGCTCAGAAGGAGCCTCTGAAGCACCCACCTTGTGGAAAGGCCAGGATGTAATCTTGCTGGTCCATGTCGGTGACATGATTGTTGGAGGAGAAGAGAGACGGTCACTGGGAGTGAATATATAACCGGCAGGCAGCAAAGATCGGATCGGATCGGTGAGGAGTTGGAGACAAACCCATTCGCGAATGGTGTTTGCTGCGGTGGTTGGTCTGTTTTGGGATTTGGGGGGTCTTGGAAAACCACCATTTGTCCGACTGTCCGTTCTTTTTTTTCCGGGGGGGCACCCTCACTAAATAGTCAGATTTAGGCCAAGTTCGTGCTCACCATAGGCTTAGCTAGTGTCGTAGCTGTTGAGCTGCACTGCGTTTGGCAGCTGAGTTTGCCAATCCCTTGGGTTTGCGTTCCGCTATGTTCCGCCCCACCTTTCGGAACTGATTCAATGCAAGTAGGCTAGAAGTGTCTAGACCGATACCCCACAGTCCATCCGAGCCATGACCTGGGGTGGACAGGCACAAGGCACAGATGCAAACACTGCAGAAAGCAAGCTACCACAGGGCAGCTGATCCTAAAGGATTCCTGGTTGAAACCCTGCCCGAAGCAGAAGGGAAAGAACTCCTGTTGAGCCTAGAAGAATACCTTCTGAGCTAAGTCAGCTTAGTGTTGCAGAAGGAAAAAATGCTCTTAGGCCATTCGGAAGATGGGCGAGGGTAATGGGAACGGGAAGGCTCCAGTGTTGGGTTGTGGAATGAGTGTGTTCCAGAAAAAACTACTCGTGGCACAAAGGCAGTTTGTTTGTGTATGATCCACCCTTTCACCATCTGTTTTTCAGAATCTTGGATCCGGATGTTTTTTCAGGTCTCCGGCGTTTTTCCGGAATCGGCACCTTTTTCCGCCCAAAGGAGGATCCAGGTATATACGCAGTATGTGCAGGATGGGAACTTGCATCATGCCTTTTGTGTTTTTGAGAGTCTGGGCCTTCTTAGGATGTTTTTGTTTGAGAGAGAGGTGGATCAAGCGACGGCATTCAGGGGTCCTCAGTCAACTCACCTTTACAAAAACGAGCTGACAGCGGCTAGGCCCTAGGCATTAGAGGCACCTGAAGGCGATGCCACTTCCCAAGACGTCCCTTCATGATCAAGCAGCAAGCCCCTCCATCTTCCTGCCTTCCAGTTGTCTATTCAGAGGAAGCTGACATATTCTGACATGAGCTTCAGTTTGAGGTTCATGTCACACCTTTGCGCTATACAGGGCAAGCGGATTTCACGTTTAGCATCGCGTGGCCATTTCCAGCTTCAATTCCAAAGCCTATATGTGGTTCGCGCGACCTCCATGACAAAGACCCAAAGGATCACACGGAGTTCACGCTGAGACTAAAGAACACAGAACACATCAGAATCATACTTGATGTTTTCCAGCAGCTGATCTGTCTCACTTGACTTCATCCCTCCCACTTCCAACAATTACTCGCACGGAGTCTGGGGTTTTGTTCTTGAGACTTTGAGTGGTTTTCAATCCCATTGCCAGCTGGTAAACTCTTCCATCTCCTCTTCAATTTCACCACGCCAGGACTTCCGCGATTTTCGCCCTCTCAAAGGATATGTGTTCGCGGGGGGGGTTCCTTTTTGAATTTTTTTGACAGTTCATTCGGAACCTACCTCGGCCTACCCCATCCAGCCTCTACAACTTGACGCGGACGACGAAACGCCGTTTTTGGTATGCCGCGGTGACCCATGCGGCATGGCCACGGAAACGGCGACGGGCTGAGACAGCGCAAGGTATCAGTTTTTTTGGTGTGAGAAGTGGTTCATGGCACAGATCTTGAAATTGGTGTCAGGTAAGGATGATTTATGATACTCCATATTAGAGGGCGGTGGCATGGTTTGAAGGCCGAGCTTTCAACCCTTATGCCCGAAGATTGTTTATTTTTTTGCGCGGGGAGAGCTCCCCAGGAGAACTTGTAGAGCCGGAGGCAAAGACCTTCATGTACCAGTCTCCAGGCTCCCATCAAAGTACTTTGCCCACTGAGCTGTGAGTCTTTAAGATGTCACTGACAATGTGTGCCTTGACGAGTTCATCCTGATTCCACTTAAAGGTAAACACGCGTCACTTCTCGGGTCCACATGCAATAAAGGTCTCCCAAGCAACTAGAATACCATAATCCACCTCGACTGCTAGTGAATTGCAGTCTATAGATTGAATTTGTCCCAGATGTCTCACCCAAGATTGACCCTTTGACCTCCTCCTGATCTCCCCCTTGTAACACTCCGACCGCACTGGGGACCGTTTCACCTCGCCGCCTCAGCACGCCGCAGGCGGAGTTTCTGCAGCGCAAGCGGCAGATCTTGGCGTCGCTGGATCGAAGCCGCTCGGTCGCGCCGGTGCGGTCGTGGTCGCGGAGGCGGAGGCGGTCGCACCGCGGAGGGTGGAGTGCGGTCGCGGTCGCGTGGCTGAGGCTGGTCGGGGAGCGACCTTGGGGGAGTTGAGTGGTCTAAGCAGGGAAAAAGGTTGGATTCAGGATGGACCCCAAAAAGCGAGCAGATCAGATCCGGTACATTCGCGAATTCTCCTTCATAGGTTTCGATGACGCTCATGCTTCATCATTCTTCCGCTGTTGCCTCCCCAGGCCCCAAAGGCTCTTTGGATGCGCCCATCGTCACTCGGTTCAGAGTGGGCAGAGCGGGCTTCGCTCTTTGGATGGGTACAAGTGTGGCATGTTTGGGGCACCACACCATGTTTTGTTTGGTGCAGATGATTTTGATCAGTCGACTTTCCAACAACCCAGCCGCAGCAAAGAATACTTAGAAAAGGAAGTTGAACCAGGCATACTAGTTGAACTTCAAACATCTTCAAACTAACATAGCTTGCTACCCTTGCTACCCCCGAACAAAAACGGATCAACAGACAGAGACATGTTGAACTTTTCATTGACCCAAGAAACACATGTAGAGGGTCTAAGTGCTCGAGCTCCTGTTGAGACTCTCAGCTGGTCCTTTGTCCCATCGCTGCTCAGGTTGACTTCTTGAGTTGGCTCAATGAGCAGGAGGGGGTGCCTTGGCCGCAACGGTAAGGAGCCCTTCGATGCCCCTTGGCCCCCCCCCCCACACAGCATCAGCAGTCAGCAGTCAGGTGCCCAATTGTGTCGGATTTGTGACGGGGGGCTCATAGATGATCTACCACTTCTGCCTGGTTTGACTTGGTTTGCTGGTTGAGGTACGTTTGAGCAGGTCAGGCCTGGTTCGGTTGCTTGGTCAGAGAGATGTTGGAGACGAAGATACACCGCGGGTAGTCGAAGATATACCAAATGCCGAGTCCTAACATCCAATCTCCCTACGAAAACAGTTAGACTTTAGGCCATTTCTTAATTGAATGTCTTTAGTATCCACCATGGCCAGCTTAAGCGCATCCACTGTCGGAGCAGCCTCACTGCCACCTCCCAGGTCGTGACGACCTCCTCGTGCAGCGGCCGCATCGCCATCTTCCACGGCCGCCCGGCCTTGCGGACAGCGGGGCGTCCGTGGGCAAGTGACACAGGGGCTTGGAAAGCTTTGCCCAAGGGATTTGGATCAAGGTCCCCTTGACTCTTCAGTCAAGAAAAGCCAACTATTTGGGAGATAATTGTAATTAATTACGCTGAATGCTTCCCTAATAGAAGGTGTCAAAAGATGAATAGGATGGCATCATTTGGATATCAAGATGTCAATTGTTTGATGGTCAACCTTGGATATCCTTGGATTCCATTCACAGGAATTCTCGCCCTGAGGGGCCCCATCTATTTTTACAGGGAGGAATGCCTATTCTCAATCTCCAAACATTCCATACATTGAATATTTATCCTGACGGACCCACATCATAATTCGGGTTTGTCCTATTACCTGTAACAGTCGGTGAACAATTGTCACTACCTTTAAGAAAGGCCTTTACTAATAACCATCATCATCCACTGTTACTGGTTAGACCCAAATCATAATCATCATCATCATAATCGTCATCATCATCATCATCATAATCATCATCATCAGCAGCAGCAGCAGTATCAGTGTATAGGTCAATGGTCCAAACCCAAATGGAGTCTTCCACATTGGGGGTGACCAAGCGGGCTTCCACGTCCACCGGGCTGCGAGGGTTTCAATAGCCAATGAACTTCAGAGACTTCCTCTCATATCATAGCACTCGAAGAAACTCATGTCATACCTTCTGAGAAGGTACTTGGAGCCCTAGGGTTACTGTAGGAAAGAAAGTTACTCACCCTACTGGGTTGAGGAAAGCCTGCTTCTTGTTCCATAATAAGCCATATGTTCATGATCACTCCGATATGCACCCCATTCTTTCCACAGATCTGGACCTCGACAACAAATTCGTTGTTTCTTCAGGCTCGGCTGACTTGAACAACTCCAAAGGCGCACGTGTTTCACGCAGCAAATAAAGCTTCCAAACCACAGAAATCCACATACCTTCTCAGAAGCTACTTGGAATCAGAAGCATTTAGTGATTATGTGCCAACTGCACAACCAAACACAATCAGGTGTCAGAAATAGAGCATACATCGCTGGACCAGAACGATGTGGGGACGCAGACTCAGATGATCCAGACATCTACACTTTTGTGGGGGGGAAGGATTTGGTATCCTTAAAGTTTAATGGTGGAGAGGTATGTTAAAACAAAAGGATTTTTCAGGTCACTTAGATTGGTGTGCACGATGCTGCAATCCCTTTGCTGCATCGCTGGCATTTTCTGAGTTTTTATTCGTGCACTTGTATGTTCAAGCTGTATGAAGCAAGCAGTTGATGGAGTTTAGGCGTCCAGATCATGTTCACATGCCTGTAGAAAAGACCTTCAACGCCCAAGACTTCATGTCATGGAGATTGGGGTGTTGGCAACGCCCACCGGCCAGGGGGTCAGTGGTTGCTGCCGGGAGCCATGGGAAAGACCAAAGCGAGTCAAGCAGATGAGAACAATGCCAAGACTTAACAGTGGTAAATCATATAGATATGATCCAACCAAGTTGGGTTTGCTTTTTTTGTGACTCTTGATTGGCTTCTCAGTTGCAATTGGTTCACTTTCATCCATTGAACGCATCCAGGTTGCCACCAAAAAGAGAGTTTGGTGTCCTGAACGTCGCAAACTCCTCTGGAAGCAGCCAAACAAGCACATTTGGATTACGTTTGGTCCACTCTGGCACCTAGAAACTTGACCGGCTGAGGGCCAGCCATGCGCTGGTGGACGTCCCTGAGACCTGGGCACAACTGCAACAGTCGCGTGGGCGCCTATAGGGTTCGACCTAGGAGTTGCTCAAAGAGTTGCGCAGTGCATTCAATTTTTCAGAAAAGGTCCTTACAATTCCACTTAATGTAGACTCCTGATATATAAAGCACCCAATTGAAATGGAACATCCTCTTCATATGGGGGGTTTATTAATCAAGAGTCTCTACATTATATAAGGTGTTTTTGGATTGCACCCAAAAGGGATCCAAAGGGTACGGCCCGGTGGCCAGGCCCATCACGGCTTTTAGGGTCCAACAGATGTGTGGGACAGGAGCCACATTTAGTCGCTGGAGAGGGTGCTGATGTTGGCGGATAAAATGGAGAAGTAGAACATCAACTCATATTTTGATTCTTGGGATCCAATGTTGCCCTCCTCAGCCTGTAGCACGGACTTACTGTAACAAGATGGGGCAGATATGGTTTTGAAGAGTCTTGGAGGCCGTTGAATGAGGGCATAAGTAGCTCATCAGAAGAAGAAGGTTGCGCTCGTATTGACACATTTGTGCCGCCAATCATTCAGGTTGGAGGGCCAGAGCGATGCTACTGCCAGGGATCCAAGCTTTGCAACGCAATGTTCATCGGTATGATTCTCATCAGTTGTTGGAAGATATGCTGCGACAATTATTGAGTTTTGAGCACCCGGAAAAATGGAAGCTCACAGATTGGCAATATATTAAATTCCTTATCTATCCGATATCCATTCTTTGTAGAGTAAAATTGGGTTCTGGTGTCAGTGGGCGCTGCTCATTCACCGAGGGTACCTTGACCACCCTGTTGCTGGAGCCCTTCGTTTTGCATGCGGAATGCCGCTTGGGCCAGAAGAGTATTCTTGATGGTTGGTCGGTTAATTAATTGGTTTTCATGTGTTAGTTCCTCATTTGCAGTTTGAGTTTGTAAGAGTGTCTCAAGTTTTTGGAGCTTCTCGAATCAAGAGTCTGTAAATTGTTGGTGCCAGCCTGAGCTCCCTGAGAGATGCCTTTTCTTTTCCGCCTCTCGGATCCATGTCGGGTGACGACCCCAGGTGTTGATGCCACCTTGGGGCAGACGATGCTGAGTGCCGCGCGGGAGGTGGGCTGACTTCGGGGCGTCAGACAGCAGCAAAAATCGACCCTGGCAAGAGTGCACAGCGATCAATCCTTGGTCCTTGGTCCTTCGTGGAGGTGTGTTCGAGTTCAACTCGCCGGGTGCGCAGTCACTCGTCACATCTTCCACATATGAGCTGTCCAGCCATGGAGTAGTGCCCCGCACGGGCTGGGAATTGACCGGCAGGCTGGCGTTGGTGGAACTTATTCCGTGAAGTTTTATGTCATTGCATTCCTTTTATCACATGCCTGCTTGGCTTGTTCTATGCAACCTCAAGACCAGGCAATGATGAAACGATCCCAACTCGAACCAAGCCCAGAACCCACTCACCGCACAAACCCTGCACCACCCAAACAGACGTTGACCACCGCAGGCGGGCTTCCGCGAGAGTGGCCTCAGCCTGGGTCGCAAGCGCGTCATGGTGCAGATCCGGACCTTAGCTCCTCGGACCGAATGAGTGATTCCCCGGTCTATCGCCGTGGTGCCGATCGTGGGGGCGCCGATCGTGGGGGACATGGTCCAGGTCTAGTCAACCAGACCTAGAATGAGCTAGATCTCCCCGGTTCCGATCTACAAACTTCCACGAATTCCACCTCGTTTCCATCCTCTCAGCCTGCATTTTGGGGTCAAAAAAGGACCTCCGCTGGCCCGGCACCTGGCGCCCTTGAGGCCCTGCGCTTGGAAGTGCCTTTGGCCAGTGATGGTCGACTCCTGGTGGATGGAAACTACTTCCAGGCCCCGGGCACCGCGCAAAGCGTCGTGCAAGGCGTCGCACCACGCGCCGCGAAGAGCGTCGACAGAAGAAACGACTTGGGGCCGGCCGTAGGCGGCGTCACTGCCCGTTGGAGTGGAGTCGGGTCGAGCGTATATCATCGCAGAGAAGTAGAGAGAAGATATGGTTAGACTTGTGTGCAACCGCAAAAACGTGCAATGACACGTATTTAGTTTAGTAAAGAGTGGTCGCGAATTTTGGTGGTCTTGCTGGCTAAACCTGCAAAAGCATGCAATATGCCCCCCCTCAAAAGCGATAACCTTGTTATACCTTGTTGAATCATGTCATCTTCGTTGCCAGGGATTGCTTGCACGGTTTTGTTTGTTCCTCACTGTTTGTGCTCAATCATTTGGAATTGTTATCCAAACCTCGCCCATTCGCAACTCCTGATCCCAAGAACAAGCTATAGTTACTTGTAGTGGACCACGTCCAACAAGAATGACTTGCGCACACACGCACGCACGCACACACACACACACATTTTCGCTTTTGTTAGTTCTATGTCAATGTGTTGTTCATTCTTTCCGTGTCTCTTCCTTCAATTCCTTCAATTCCGCTTGCAACAGCTCCTCCTCGCGCACCGCCCAACACCTCTCTCCGTCTCCGGCACCGCCCAGACGCTGCTGGAGATCGCGAATCGCCGCCTCGAGGAGAACTTTGCGCGCACGCAGCGGCTCTGGGCACAGCTGCGGGAGGCCGAACGACCCTGCGGCGCACAGAGAGCGCGAAGCGGGATGAGCGGACAAGATCCGACGAGCAACAGAAAAAGGACAGGACATACTGTAACAATCTGTAACATACTGTACTACAGTACTGTATATATTGTGTATTGTATGCATGACATGGTCAAAGATCACAGGGTTGACTGGTGCGTTAGTTTTAAATCACCTGTGATTAGGGTGATGAGGATGAATTTCCTCCACGAACTTCTAGTGGCAGCACCTGTCCGCCGGAGTTCCGAGTAGCAGTCACTCCAGCCCAATCGCAGGAATTGGAACCGTTGGAGGGACATGTGACAAACCTGAAGGTCCACAGTGGGTTTGGGTTTTGACCCTCACAACTCGGGTAGCAGCCTCTGGGTAGAAGAACTCTTTTGGTTGAACCTTTTACAGTAAGGATGTGCACCTGGTGAGAACATCCACCTTCCCAACGGAAAGCCTTCTTTCCCATCAGGCCCTGCAACGGACAGAGGCCACCCCTGCTGAGTCAGAGGCCCCAGCCGTACGAGTTGTACAGAGAGGCAGCTCTCGGCTTCAAGAGAGAAGAGAGCTGGAGCTGTTGATACCTTAGACCTTTGAACCATGGGAACGTCGTTTGTGTTGTGTCTTTTGTTGTATCATGTTCGGGTGCACTTGGGGGGCGTTCGAGCATATCTCCTTTCACAGGGTTGGACACACACTTGTTTGCCACCTTTGAAGGATCACGTATGTTTGGCACTTTTTGTCGGGAAAAGGATGGGAAAGGACATCAGTTGGGGTCCAGGCTGAAATATCCTGCGGATGTTCTTCCATGCATCTTGGGTCCACTCCCCCCTTCAACACACTCTGTTTAAAAGCAACTTCATCATTGCTTGCAGAACGGATGTTGAAGATATGTCAAGACATGCCAATACCACATATCAAAGGATCTCAGCTTTACCACATCATCTAGAAAGAACGGATGACATAGGATGACCACTGTTTCGAAGTAACCTCACTCCCTAGGAATCCAAAGCTTCTCAGATGGTACGACTGGACCCTCCTGGCGCAATCAAGGTGTCTCATCCGCACCCGATAGATGCGGATGCCATAGGGACATATAGGGACTCAACATGACTCAGTGTGGCCCCCACCAGGTATAGAGGTGGATGTTGAACCTGTTTCCATGCCTTGAAACAACGAGATCCTCCCAGCTCCGTGGCGTGACTGGGGCCGTTCAGTGGCCCGGTACCGCTCAGGCCGTGGGTGTTGATTTGCGCGTCATCGCTAGCGCCACTTGGGCTGAATCGGGGCTTCTGATTAGACAGAAATTAAGACAGGGACAGGGTGGATATATGTTCACTTAAAGCTTGTTGGACACATTACATGACTGGGTTGGTCTCTACAATGACCTGGGGTGATTGAGACAAAAACACGACCTGGGTGGGCAGGCAAGTTGCCGTTCGATCATGCGACTCGCTTAGAGAGAAGCAGATGAAGTAAGACATGTTCATAGGATGTTTGATGGATGTTCAGTCTTGCTTACTATAGGTGTCAGGTTGGTTTGAGCCAATGTTGGGGATGGTCGCCATCATGACACGATATATCTCTGAAAGCACCCTACGTAGAGACTGACTACTTCAGCGGTTTGAGAGCATGTGGATGTCTTGGAACTCTGCACAAGTGTAGACTAAAGCCGTTGGGAACAACAGGAACAGTTGGGCCGCTGTTTAGCAACACAGTACAGTAGACCACCAACTTGCTGTGCTTAAAGAACAACATGTTCCGATGCAGACCTTTTGCACCTTCAGAGTAGACGGCGGCCCTTTTCACTTTTCAGGCATGACATCCATGGAAATATATATATATATGTGTATCATACTGTATACATCATACCCCATACACTCCATGGGACTACCATATATCCCGCCTCATGGACCCCCTGGCACCACCCCGGTCGGCCGTTTTGAAGGCCGTCCGACATGGCATGTCCCAGACGGGTCGCGTTTGGGTACGAGTACCATCAACCCTCTCACACGCGGCTTCCACGCTGGTGCCCCGCCTTCCTTCGCCTGCCACAGCGGAGCGGAGCGAGCTTCCAGGCGTGGGGTGAAGCTGGCTCTAGAGGCCCGGGCTTGGATGGTGCCGCACTGAGCGGGTTCCGCGCTTGGAGGGGTGCCCCACGTTTCGGTTTCGGCCGTTTCGGCCGGACACGCCAGCGTCAGACGTTGGGTGTGGGCTCCAAATGGGTTTCTCCAGGAAGTTGTACCGGTCCTAGAGGAGCGTTTGTTGAACAAAATGTTTCACAAACACTCAAACGTTGAGAATTTAATTTATTCTCAACAAATGGCTCCTGGCTACCAATATTAGTATGGTTTTCAATACAAAAACCAATGTAAATATGGTTTGCAACCATCTGTAAACATCAGAACTAGCATGTGTTCGCTTGCAAAAACCAATGTAAATATGGTTTGCAACCATCTGTAAACATCAGAATTAGCATGCGTTTGCTTGCAAAAACCAATGTAAATATGGTTTGCAACCATCTGCAAACATCAGAATTAGCATGCGTTTGCAAACCAACCCCACACAAACCAAACATACCCTCCAAAAGTTCAAACACCGCACACAAACCAAACATACCCCCCAGAAAAGGAAAAAAACACACACACACATGTCAATAATCTCTCAGACTTCCCACAAAGCAGCAGGCAAACTTTTCATCCCATATGCAAACGTAGTTTCTGACCAATCATGATCAGATATCTTGACAAAGCTGTGTGGGCTGATGTTTTCCGATGTAGTTTTCGGATCAGCCTACTCAACTTCTTCATGTAATCTTCATCAACCCATGTCGAATCAGCGGATGGGTTGCGCCCTGATGGGCGCAGGGAAGCTTCAGCACCTAGGTGCCATGTGAGGTGCCACTTGGGCCGAATCTTGAACACTGCAGGATGCTGATGGTGCATCAAAAGGTAGAGCTTCATGAAACCCTCACAGGTCGTCAACATCTGGTCCGCCCTCTGACGGTCACAAAAGGCAGGTCCCCCGCACAGCAGCCAGATAAACATGTGGCCCAGACAAACCAAGGCCGATAGATTCGCGAACTGAGGATCCTGAACATCAGCCAGTTCCTCTGCCAACCACTGCAAAATGATCGTACTGTCCGCTCCTTTGCTCCGAAGCTCCGGAAAGGAGCCTGCCTTCAACACAAGGTTATCCTGACTAAAGCAACGAAGAGCTGTTTTCACCCCAGCACGTTTGCAGTAGGCTCTGAGTTGGCCAGTTGCCACACGAAGGCGTTGTTGCAGATTGCCTCTGCCAAACCAACCACCCCGGATCAGCAAATGCATAGTTGCACCAATCCTCAAATCGACAAATCAAAACAATATAAAATATATGCGCAGAGTAAATTAATCTGTTTTTTGGCTCAAAAAATGAATTACAATGCCAAATCTCAGGTCACGCGCTACCCCCAAATGCCAAATGTGCAGGCAGTCATAGCCTATCTTTTGCAAGGCAAAATGCCGCAACGACGCCAGAGCTGGCTCAAAGGTGTATGGAGAAGGGCAGTTGTTCACTGTAGCTCGCCAACCAGCTGTGCTGCTCAGATCAGTCATGTTGTTTGGCCCAGCTTTCTCTGCCAGACAGGACCAACAAATCAAGTTGGTTTGCGGGTGCCGTTTAAGGCACATAATTTGCTTCATAAATTTCCAATCACCGCGAAGCGCTTGGAAAATGAATCTCAGTGTCCAGCCCTGAGTATTCTGTTTTGACAAACAGTCCAAATTCAAACTCACAAAGAACACATACACACCAAAAGAACAAAATGTGATTTATAGCATCCACAGGTCATCAGCACTGTTGTGCGGATCATACATCCCACCTTTTGTCACAGGTATTCCCTCATCTGCGACAGAATTGAGCGAAGCCACAATGCGCTCACAAATCGTCTGGAGTGTAAAGTTGATTGAGTTTACCTGAGGTCTGAGGTTGTCCCAATTTACCCCAATGGCTTTAATATGGTAGAAACAGCAAATATCATAAGGAACAGACTGCTACTTTGCAAAGCCAATGAACCACCCAGTATTTGTCTGCTGGAACTATGCAAAGGAGAAATCGTGATAGAAGGCTGTTTGTATTTTTGGGGCTCAGGGTTGGATGCCAATGAAGGATCATACACGATGTTCTGAAAATGGTGGATTCATCTCCATACAAGGAATATGGAGCACAACATTTGGGATCTATGTTGTTCGTCTCCTGAGGGTAATCCAGCAAAGCTCGCTCCCAAAAAGCTTCCCGCTGCTCAACTGTACCAGCCAGCATGTGAAGATAACCAGAGTTGATGAGGGCAATCATCAAATCTCGTGGCAAAAGGACTGGCCAACCCACAATCTCCATCTCATCCTCGTCATTTTTGACAGGAACCTCCACATAAGAGATCTCACACTTTATGGAGAGGCCATGTTTGGCAGCACGCCTGTGCACTCGACTTTCTGGAGGTCGACTTTCTGAAACCCCAAAGGTGTCAGAACCATAGATTCTCCCCAACCTTTCAGCGAAGGCTTGTGTCAAATCACCTTGGCCAAATCCAAGGGCAATCTCACGGTCCAGATGGTGTCGAATGGCTTGACCAATGGCACCTCCAAGGAGGCTAAACCAAATAATGCAAATGAACACTTTGCATACAAGATAGCGTTCAAAGGTGCTCAGATCGAGTTTTTTCTTCACATCTCACGTCCTCGAGACCCCTGACACATCCAAGGTTGTTCATCCCTGGATGTTAAATCCCCTACCATGCGCCAACAGTACATCAAATTGATGAATGGGCATCTATCTAGCTAGGACCTAGCACGCCAGTACAGGCATCTGACAAAAGCCATCTCAGCATCACTTGTCCGTCTTGTCCTTCTTAGCCTCGAAGGTCTCTGCAAACAACCGACAGCGCATGGAAAGAAAATAAGGGAAAAACACATAGCAACAAATTGGCACCTGCAATCCTCCGAGAAGCCATTTCCCGGGCGACAGCTCGTGCTTGCACGCGAAGCATCTTGGAGCGGGTGAGGACATCAGCAATCTTGGCCATGTGTTTCTCAAAGGTGGTTTCATCGATCAAATCGGCATCAATGACTTTGGTGTCATCCCAAATCTGGCCAATCTCAACCTTAAGGGTGGTCAGCTTCACCCTCAAGTCATTCCCTTTTGGTAGCTCCAATGCGCAGGTCGCCGCGAGATACTCCTTCTTCAAATCATTGCCTCAGCTTCGATTGCGGGCGCCCAAACCAAATGCATCAATTTTGGACACCAACAACACACCCAGGGAAACACCAAAAATACACGAGGGAAATCGAAGGCAAGCTACACCCATCAGCAATGATGTTCTTCCAGGACTTGGGGTTCAGAGGCATGGGGGGGTTCTTGGTCTTCCTCTTGGGTTGTGGCTTTGCCTTCGTTGAAGGCTGGCCACCTGCATTGTCACCATTCGGCGCAGACTGTGCCTTAAGCATCTCCATGGCCTGTTGGAGCTGCATTGGTTGACCATTGGGCGCTTGCCCACGAGCCTCCGACAGCAAGCCATTAATCGCAGCACCATCAGCTCGAACACGGGAAGTTGCATTGAGCTCAAGGCGGCTCCTTTGCCGGCAAACTCGCTTGGTCTGAATGTGGCACCAGTAGCGAGCTTCTTCCATGATATGTGGATGATCTCGGTCCAGCACTGGGGCTTGACTGCTGATGATGGCAGCAATTTTGGGCCTGACAATGCACAGTGGCAAAGTAGAAACATAAGGCGATACCTGCAGACCACAACAAAAAGCAAACCAATGACCAATGCACAAACAAGTCACTCACTCATTCCTGCACGCTTCATTCCATCGATTGTGAGGAGCTGCTCCTCTGTGTCCATCTCATCATCAACCGATCTGGAGACCTTCAGCTGAACTTCACACCGCTCAGCATTCTCGCCTGAAGAAAGCCACTGCCGCAGTAAAGAGCGTCGCTCTTTCAAGGTCCCATTGAACATGGCCAACATGTTTGGGCAAGACACTTCTGTGGCGTGGTCCTCCATGTAGCGTCGCATCCTCATGTAGAGCCGGCAATTGCTGCTGGTGATCACATCATCTGGAATGAGGCCCTCATCATACTTCTGCAGAATGTTCGCTTTGCAATAATTGCAAGTCTGAAAATTGTACAACCCCTCCCCCAAACAAAAACACAAAACAAAATAGCAAACTCATTGAAAAGAACCCTTTGCAGCGCTCCTGGAAATAATTGATTTTGGCAAGGCACCTTCATCCATCCCTTTGAGGTCCTCTGCTGTCAGCATCTGACGCTGCTGCCCCAAGGACACATGTGCCACCGTAGAGCCCAAACGTATGTGCGGGGGAGTTCGTAGCAGGTTTGGGACCGCTGCTGCGGGCGCCGTGCTGGGAGCTGCGGGTGCTGTGCTGGGAAGAGCCAGTGGCGCCACCTCCGGCGCTTTGGTCTCTGGTGCTGCTGCGGGTGCCGTGCTGGGAAGAGCCAGTGCTTCCGGGGCGACTGGTGCCAGTGGCGCCACCTCCGGTGCTTTGGTCTCTGGTGCTGCTGCGGGCACGCTGGGAAGAGCCAATGCTTCGGGGGCGACTGGTGGCACCACCTCCGGTGCTTTGGTCGCTGGTGCTGTTGGCTCAGCGGGTGCTGCTGCAACCTCGGTTATGTCACCTGGAACGGTCTCTTGCTCCTCTAGAGCTCGCAGAGCTTCTGTAGAAAGGCCACCGCTGGAATCCATCACCGTGTCCCCAGGTTTCTCGAGATCATGTTCAACCTCATCGGGGTTGGCCTTGATCTTCAGGAACTTGAGGAACTCCTCCGCCAGCTTCTCTGTGAAAACTTCACTTGCACTGCCGCCAAGTGCAGACATCAGCTCAGACTTCGACTGGCTCTCTTGTGACTCGATCATGTCTTTGGCATTGTTCCAGATGGACTGTGCAATCATCTGCTCTTGTCCCTTCAAGAGCGTCGCCAAAGAGAGTTGTGAGTCATCACACTCCTTGACTTCAGACTTGGTCTCCTTGACTTCAGACTTGGTCTTCTTCCTCCGCTTTGGAGCTGAAGAAGCCTCGGCAGTGCTTTCTTCCTTGACAGGCTCAGGCTCTTCTGCAGCC